CCGATTTTCCTTAACTTGCTCTTTCGAATGGTAATTATTAGGTGGGTGCAAAAGTTCTGTCGTTTCATTTTCAAAAATTTGTAACTTCGCCAGATTTCAATGAATTTGCTTGCCTGTAATTTTATTAGAAAGAATAAGTCGTTCGCTTTCAAATGCTGTTCCGTGGAGCTTCTGTTTCATACTGGGTGCGAAAATAAAAATGGAAAACTAAGACCATATAAGCTTTGACCATTTTAAGTTAGGTCACCAAAAATCTGGAATGCTGCAGAACAATCTGAAATCCTCAGTACATATGTTTTTTGGCCTACCCTTTGCATCTGCGAAAAGTTTGCGCTGTTTGGACGTCTCTGTGAGAAGTTATGAATATCGAGTTTACTATGGAAAACGCCAAAATCAATTAATTTGTGAATTTTTGCGAAAATCATAACTTCTCACAGAGACGTCCAAACAGCACAAACTCTTCACAATTGCAAAGAGTAGGCCAAAAAACATATGTACTGACGATTTTAGATTTTTCTGCAGCATTCCAGATTTTTGGTGACCTAACTTAAAATGGTCAAAGTTCACATAGTCTTAGTTTTCCATTTTTATCTCGGCACTCAGTGTGAAGCAGAAGCTCCACAAAAAAGCGCTTGAAAGCGGAAGATTTGTTCTTTCTAATGAAAATACATGCAAGCAAATCTGTTGAGACAGCGCAAAGCTACAAATTTTTGAAAATGAAACAACAGAACTTTTGCACCCACCTAATATATACACACAAAAACTGATCTGTGACAATTCTACAAACCGCTAAAAACGACGAACTTGCTTTTTAGCCAACCTAATGTAATTCCCAAATACATTTTTGGAACACCTTCACGTCTAGCTATAATATTTACGGTCTTTTTGCTATATTTGCATAGGTTTATGAAATCTTACGGTGGTCAACAACTTTTAAGAAAGAAGATTGAAACTTACTGTTCCTAGCAGTATCCATTCAAATATCCTATCAGCAACAACTTTCGCATACTTTGGATCTGGGCTAAAATATGGGATCATTGGCATCAAAATAAAACTTTTGACACTTACTCAACGGGACTAATAGTTCTTAGGTAGTAAGGATTTCCTGTATAGCCTTTTGAAGTCAAACCATATGGCTGCAGTGTGCAATTGTATTCTGGTTTATCGCTGGCATTCTGAACCCATAAAGCTCCAGTTAATCTTCTACATTTTTTGTAAACGCATGTTCTGAGTACAAACCTACTTTTCCTTGTCTGTCCCAAAGCTGATCTATATCGTTACCGATACGACTTTTGATGTCTTCTAATAGGGACACATAAGGGAATTCAGTGCACCTTGGAGCGACGGCCGTAACCGTTATAGGTGAGATCTGAATGCTGACAAATCTTCTGTATGGTGAAAAAAATGCGAAACTTACCATAAAGCTTACTAAGCCAAGAAGCATCATTGATTAGAATGAGGCTCTCTCTAAGTTTGATACGAGTTTGCACTTGATACAAGTGCACTTTCTCTTATTATCATTGCGAATTAATTTACTGAAGGCCATATGAGCTGTCGATACCACAATAGCAGCAGTCCTTATTGCGCTGTTTAGCTTTGCACATTCAGTATTGGAGATTATTTGAGTAATAACAAGTGAAGCATCGAAGAATGAAGGACATGTTTTCAAAAGTACAGTCACATTAATTTATTGGTAATTTCTTCAATGTCTGAATAATATCAAAAAAGTATTATTCGCAAAACAAACATAAAAAATTCTCCTTGTAATTTTTCCTTCCGCGGTTTTTCAGATATTGATTTAGTATTGATTTTCGATTGAGTATACTTACAAGGGAAAGTTACTTGGTGACCGTAGCCATCAATAATGATCTATGTATGGAAAATGCGCCTTTGTATGCTAGTTCGGAGACTTCTCCAGTATCTGCGAAACGATAACCTGGATGGAATTACGCTTTTTTTTTCAAGAATAACTTAGCTGCTGAGGAGGATCAAAACCACCATCAAAATCTTCTTTTTTTTTGATTGGTGAATATGATTTAGATAGTTATAAGTATAACAGTAGTCCTTTCAAAAAAATTTTATTAGTACAAACGGTAAACTAGAACAAATTGGTGATTTTAATTATCCAAAAGTACGCAAATGTTTTAAAGAAAAGTTCATAACTTTATTGAAAAGATTGTTTCGCAGATATCGAGTGCAGATTTGCAATCAGCGTTTTAAGATGCATCTTATGGTATACGTCGCGTTTCGAAAGGCCACTGTCACCACGTATCCTTCCCTTGTTAGTGATTCAATTCGTTGCGTGAGTTAACACCCTAAATATTCATAAAAATCTCGTGAGCCACTTGAATAAGGCTAGAACCGTAATCAATTTGTTTTTCGAATGGGCTGCAGAATAACTGCATAATCGTATCACAACAACTCGAGCCCGTGAATAAGGAGAGTACAAAACACGTTCACAGTTACGACACCATTTGGTATGGTGAATGACAGAGCACTCACTATGTAGTCTAAGCCTCCGACTATCTCTATATAATAAAGCGCAGCGTATGACTCGCCGTATGTGGCCTTCGCCGCGTGTGAAGTCCTCCCCCCCCTGTGTACTGGGTGCAGCTAATGACGTCACCGCAGCGAGGTCGCGCATATGCTGTCAACAACTTTGACTGCGAAGAGTTTCGAAAACGGTATGCTGGCGCTAACATTGTTTTGATCGATGACACTGCCTCAGAGCTAACAGAGTGCACGTGACTGAACGCCAAAACAATGATACCACAACACAATCTCAAAGTTAGTCATTTTTTTACAAAGCATTTTCTTATCTACCACGTATGATCTGATACATAATGATTACAATATGCTGTCCCGGAGGTTAACGAGGTTCTCGTAACCTTAAAAATTCCTTACTGCAATTTTGAGGTGAAACAAAATTAGAATGGATTGAAGGTCTGCCAAAGCGGTTATACTCAGACATTCGCTGGGGGCAGGCGGGCACCGGAAAAATAGATTGCTGATTTCTCGCACCCCGATCGCGGATTTTTTGCAAAGCAATCAGGACTTTTCGGAAGACCGCTTGCTGAGTCAGCGGATTTTTGAGAGACCGCCTGTTGAATTTTTTTTCGCTCTTATCTTTTGCAGATATATTGCTGAATCTCTGAGGAATCGAGAACTCAGCAAGCGATCTTCCGAAAAGTCCTGATTGCTTTCCAAAAAATCCGCGAGCGGGGTGCGAGAAATCAGCAATCTATTTTTCCGGTGCCCGCCTGCCCCCAGCGATTGTCTGAGTAGTTAGAGATATCTAAGTGACCAAAAGTAAGGACATTCTTCGGGACGTCTTGCACTAGGAAGTTTAAGTTTTTTTGCAAAGTGCCAAGAGTTAATAATGCTTGCATCTGTACGCAGCTGAAGAAAATAATTAGAGAATGCTAACAAAGACCGCTTGTAGTTTGATAAATGTTTTTATTTTGGCGGCCAAATAGAAAATCTTCATGTCGTGAAAGCGCCAAAAGTTGTCGTTGCAATCGAACGACAGAAGAGATTGTTATTCTTCTATGAAAATGTCATCCCCTGTCTCCTGGAATCGAAAAATCGCTTTCACCCTCAAAATTGAAGTACTTCGACTGCTTGAGTCCTTTTCAAAAATATCACTTGATTGTTTTGAACGCCTGTCATAATAGGTATGGTCAGAACTTACATCAAAAAGCGTTTTGATCAACTTTATGTGAAAGTTATATGGAGAGGAACTTTAATTTTAGAAAATCTGCATTTCGACTTCGGCGATGTGGGCACTTTGCAAGAAAATCAAGCAATTTGAAGGTCGTGACCGGAGAAGCTTTGCAAAAGTGGGGTGGAGGAAAGGGCAAAGTTTGAAGCATTCTGCACGAAAGCATCGACGTTGGAAAATTTAAGGGAGGGATGAGGGTTGAATGTAGAAACTTTCGCAGTCAGAAGCTCAGTGATGCTCGGGGAGTTTTTACATGGTTTTGTAGAAAATTATTGAGGAGAGATAAGTAGTATTAAAGCGGAGAAGGTCGGTGGTTCACGGTCACTCATGCTGGGCTTGTATGCATTGTCAGGATATCTTCGCTTTGAAAACTCTCAAGGAGGGTTGAAGAGTGTGTTGCGCACATTTGCACATTTTAAAAAGAAGAGAAGCAGTAATTGCTTTTGAATAGAGAACGTAGTTTCGTCAGAGTCGTTGAGAGTAGCGAGGAAGAAAGGGTGGGGGAGCGGAAGAACCATGCAATTCGGCGAAAACCCTGTTTCCTTTCAAGTTTTTGATATGCTAAAAACTAGCATAATCTGTGGGAATTTTTTGCTGGAAGAAGTTCAGAGAGGTACGGAAAAGTTTCCATATGGCTTTATAGAAAGCCATCTGGGAGGAATAAGTAAAGAGTGGCTAAAAAAAGTTGAAGGTTTTGATATTGGAGACAGAGACACTTATTAGTCGGATGCGCTTAGACGGGCTGTATGCATTATTGGGTACCTTCGGCCTAAAAAGTCAAAAGGTAGGATAAAGAATGTGTCCCATCGAGAAGACGGGAGCATTCCAATGTGAGTGTTTTAATAGAGGTTTTATTTTAAAAGCAAAACAAGGGACATCCATTAAGGAAAAATCTGAGATTAGAAGAGAGAATGAAAAGGGGAAAGGTGGCGAAGGGATCAAATGCAATCAGGAAGAGATATTTCGTTTTTTTTTAAATTAACCTAAAAACAAGCGTACTATCGATCCATTTAGCTCCTCACAGCAGATCTGCGGTTCTATACACCGCGAGATAGCATCATCTTTCCAAAAAGAAGTGCTGACAGAATTTACGTCTTTCTTGCGACTGCTGTATATTGTTATCTCTATCTTCGACAAGCGAAATTGTTAGGTTGCTAAGAATTTGTGTCGTACTCAGATTCTTTGAACGACAAATACTAGTCTCCCCTCGAACTTTCGCGGAGCATAAACCGATATTTGTGGCTAGGAAAAAACGTTCCACAAAACTTTTACACATATCCCACTCCACTTGCGCCCAGACCAAAGTGCCGCGAAGCGGCACTTTGGTCTGGTGTATAAATTTTTAGCAATAGGCTAAGCTGTTTTCTTTTTTGGAAGCAATCATGACTGACTGAGTTCAATGAAGACTCGATCACTTGAGCAAAGCTTTCAACCAAAAGCGTTTTACTATTACCCTCTGTTATTGGAAGAAGCTACAAACACTTCTAGAATCATATCCTTTCAAAGTAAATGTGGCGCAGAATGCATGCTGCACTTCGTTTTCTCAACTATACTTTCGATAAATGGCCTTCACTTTGAGCGACATAAGGGAACACAACTTCATCAGAAAAAAACAAAAGTCAACCGGGCGAAGCCAAGAATGTTAATATCATAATTAGATTGAAATGAATGTGTATGAAGCAAGTGCAGTGACTATTATCTCAGAAAACCCCCAACAAAATCAAAAATTTGGGAATTCATAGCCTTTTTGCGCTAAAAACGAGGTTTTGTATAAAGTTTCTTGGTATTCAGGACAACACTGTTCAGTTGGGTATGGTTTGCGATAGTTAAATAAACAAATAGATAAGTAAATAAATTCCAAAAATTTGCTAAAGTTGTTGGAGTTTAATAAAAAGGAGAAAAAGCGCTCGGATCTTACGCAGAGAGGCGCGTTCGAAAATGCTGGCTTACCTCGTTGAGAAGTGATTTTCAATTCTTGCGACTTTGTCACTGCTCCTAGTCGTGTCATGACGATCAGAATGATATTAGGTTGGCACATAAGTTTTGCAACTTTTTCTTATAACTCGTGTGTTTTGCGATGTGGCGCTTCTATTTTCAGGTATTATAATGAGTATCATGTGAACAGCGAAAGCAGCCATTCCAACATCACGTTCGAGAGTTACGGTAAGGCAATTCTTAAATGGGAAAGAAAAAGGAATTGAAACAGATTAGGGTGAAACTTGGTCTAAGAGGGTTATTCGACATCCTGATTACGAAAATGATATTCATTTTGCTTGAAAAAATTATTTTGCTATGAAAAAGTTGAATTACAAAAAACCACTAGGCTAATTTTTGACTCTGACAACAATTGAATATGATATTCATATTCAGCATGTCAAGTTACCCCATCGTGCAAAGTTTCGCCAAAATTCGACAATTCTGACTCTTTGGCAATGATGAATTATCCAAGCTACTTTGACGCATTCGATCTGTTCGAGTTTATGAAATCGCCATATTTCGATTTAACAATGAATCACGATTCTTTTTTCGCTGGGTTTAGTAGCCACCCTCTGAAAACATTTTGCCTACAGTTCCAGCTGAATTTGGTTGACTTTCTTTCTGTAGGTCTTCATTTTTGTTGAAAAAACCACAAAACCTCAATTGTGACTGCTTTTAGGAGAATACGCAGATTTTTTCCATTTTGCCACGAAAAATCAAACGGTTTGCGCAGATTTATAGTGCAC